CAAGGTTGGCTATGGGAGACTCTGTATTTAAAAAAAAAAAAAACAAAAAAAAACCACCAAGAGAAGAGAGAGGAAGGAAGGAGAGCCATTAAATGAAAGTGAAAATTATGCTGCTATCTTGTCTACATACTTATTTAAAGTGCTCATCAAATAGATAGCTAACTGAGAGAAGACTATGAAAACATAACACTTTTAACAATGATTCTTTCTGATAAAAAAACGAGATTCAGATGAACAACATGGAGTTCTTTGATTTCATTATTATATAAAACATTTCTATCAGTATTACAATGATAGTCTTTAAATTGGTTTTTACAAGTTTTGTAAAGAAAATGTAAAAAGCAAAAATGGAGGAATTTTGTATTACCACAAGATGACGAAAGTAGTCATTAACTTATTTCAATCACTTCCTGAGAAGATTTCAACAGTGTTACTCCACACAGGAACCTGACGTTATTAATTCAAGTCTAAATACAGAATTTTAATTGATGTGTCATTTGGTGCGTAACTCTACAAGTAGTTTAGATGAAGCCACGAACTAATCCAAGGATTAAGTAAGGTGTTGGAACTTGAGGAGTTTTTGGAACCACGGAGATCTGCCTCCTCATTCTACAATGAAGAAATAGAACAAAGAGACCTGTCTTTTTTAGACAGACAACTATCAGTGCACTAAAAGGAAAAAGAACTCAACCTTCTTGCTTTTAGTCCAGGCCTCCACTAAATCCAATTTATCTCATTCCAAGTACTTTGTAATGATCACATGTACTTCTTGAATATTTTTTTATTTTCTAATCCCATGTCCAAATCATCTGATTAAAAAGAATTTCAGATTTATGGACTGACTCCAACATAGAGCCAAGAAAAGTTAGTATGACCAAGGAATTTTTAAGTTTCCTCTTATCTAATGTTATTGATCTTAAAAGAGAGAAAGCCATTTAAGTAACTTGCTACAGCCAAAGGATGAGACACAAAACTACAGAGGACCAGCTGTCCTGAGTCTTGGAACATTCTTCTATATTTTACATGAATTTACAGAATAAATCAATACTCACTGGCTAACAAGATGGCTATGAGGGCAACTCCCTGGATTCTCCTAAACTAACTTAACTGTTAAATAAGCTCCATAAAGTCCCTGCTCCTTTCCAAAGCAAGGTGTTTTAAGATGGGCCTCAGCAGGCACTAAATAATGAGTTCCCAGTGGTAAAACTGCTCCACGTCATTACACAAATGAAGAGCAAAGCACCAAAAAGGAGTAACATTTAGGAAGTCTCAAGACCCAAATTTGAGTTGAATTAACAGTGGCTCTGCCGTTTTGGATTCGGCAGTGTCCTTCAGGTCATCCTCAATAGACACATGCACTCTAATTATACACCTGCCACAGGATTTCCTTTTTTTGTGCAAGATGGGGTTGGCTCAAGATAGGGTAACTCTGTGCAAAAATCCAACAATCCTGCCTGTCCTGGAACTTGCTTTGTAGACCAGCTGGCCTCAGACTCACAGAGATCCACCTGCCTCTACCTCGTGGGTGCTGGGATTAAAGGTGTGAACCACAACACCTAGCTTGCCACAGGACTTCTAAGAAGTTAGATTTCATGAACCTCTATTTTTCAATTCTTAATATCTCCTCTTACTGTTGTCCTGAGACTACATCTACCATACGTACACAATGATAGCAAATCATATAAATCATATGCTATTATGCCAATAATCACTTTTCTTTAAAAACAGCATTCAACACTACTAACAAAATAGATCTCAACAAGAATGCAACCAATCTTTCTGAAATTATTGATAAACTTCAAACCCTGTTCATAGTTTATTCCTCAGTTTGTATGTCAACATCAAGTAGCACTTATTACAGAGAGAGAGAGAGAAAGAGAGAGAGAGAGAGAGAGAGAGAGAGAGAGAGAGGGAGGGAGAGAGAGAGAGAGAGAGAGAGAGAGAGAAATAGTACAACCAACCATCCAGATGATTTAGAACTTTGGCTCTCTTCACTGTCTTCATAACCTTAGTACAGGGAATATAAGAAAGCAGGCTGAAAAGATGGCTCAGTGTCCAAGAACACTTGGTGCTCTTCCAAAAGACCTGGGCTCAATTTCTAGAACCCACACAGTAACTTACCATCTGCAACTCCAGTTCTGAAGGATCCAAGGCATTCTCCTGGTCTTCGTGTGCACTAGGCACACATGAGGTACACAGCCATATACACAGGCAACACACCCACAATAAGAATGTAAGAATACACCTGTTCAAAATCCTTTCCTTATGAAATAAATTTTCCTTTGGTCAGTCATTCTATTTTCCCATAAATAAATATAATTTTCTAAGATAATCTGTTATTTTCTCTGAGTGTGGCTGAAACCACCTTTCTAACAGAGCATGCTGCTTTCAAAAGATCAAGGTGACAATTTAGGATTTTGAAGAGGTCATTCAGGGTTTAGTCCCTCAGTAGGATCCATTCATTTTCTTATCAGTGAATCCAGTTGAATTTGATTTCACCCTTTGGGCTTCTTTGTGGGCTTTTCTAAATTCTACATTGTGACAACTTCAGAGGGCAAAGAACTTGGGAGTAGGTAAAGCCTAGATTATTGAAAACGCAGTAGTTTGGAGAAATACTTCCTTAGCCTGGTCCCCATAAGAATCTTTACAATAGAGCTGGGAATTGATGTGTGACTTATGGGAAAACTAAAGAAGGCTAGTCACTAGTAAGAGTTTCTGTTTCTCTTCCTGGGCCTACAGTAAAGGGAAGGAGGAAAAGGAGACAACAAAACTGTTTGTGCGAGATTTGGAGAAATCACGAAGGAGAAGAGACCCATGCCCTTTCCCTGCCAGATGTGAAAAGAAAGAAACTGGTGGTGAGGCTCCCCACTCCAGGCACACGCAGAAGAGCAAGATACTCTACAGGTAAGGGAGGAGAGTCTGACCTGACCACCCCTTAAAGATTCCCAGAGGCTCTGGGATCCCTGTCTGAACTACCAGGGCTCACTGAAAAGGCTCAGAGGGAACATGTAGCTGAGAAGGTGAGCTGTCTGTCACCTGAGTGTCTGTGGTTGTTGTGTGGGTTACAGAAGACAAAAGCTACAGCTACCACAATGAATTCAATGGTGACAAAGGCTTATTGCCTACAAACAGGTGAAGGGCAAGTCATACATTGGCAGAAGCCAAGAGCTTAGAAAACATTGCAGAATCAGAGTGTCCCTCCACATAAGACCCCAGAACACAGATGTTCCCTGAATTCCAGGTGCCACCAAAAACAACAACAATAAAATATAATAGTACAAAATAGTGCGTATGCATGCATGTATATATATATATGTATATATGTAATATAAAATGAGTTTATTTAACTAGCAAAAAGGTAAGTAAACAAAGTTAGAGATGAGCACAGCTACAATATGGACCCCTCTTATAAATTCCAGCACTGACTGGAGAAGAGTGATGGGCTTGAGAGTTTGGGTACGAGGCCACTGAACAGGGTCTGCCTGGGCTAATGGTCCAGAAAGTGTTCATCTAAAGCCATACAGCCAATCCCAGTGATAACTCTTCTACAGCCCTCAACATAGAAACTAGAGCTCAACAGAGTGAACACAATCGTCATCAACGAATCTCTCAACAAGCTCCTGCATCCCAGAGGGTCGTCTGTGAAGCAGTCATTCCTTCTGTACGTTCTCTGCACCTACATGTTCTGAAAACCTCACCCTCCCTGACACAGGGCACCCACTGTACACCAGTCACTAAGAGCTCAGCATCTGTGGTCTTTCTGAACTCTGGAGCATGGCCTGTTTCATTTAATTCCAGACCCACTTTATCTTAAACCAACCAGCAGAGCTCAGCTGTCTGATAGTCAATCTAGATCTCTGATGCAATGGGATTTAAAATCTCTCCAAATGTGTTCTTCTAGGGAAACTTTCATCCCCAGGGCACCTGTCTATTGTCCCCAGGGTTTCTATTGCTATGATGAACATCATGACCAAAAGCAATTTGGGGAGAAAAGGTTTGGTTGGTTAGTTTCTCAACTTACAACTCTCCAGTCATTCTCCGTTACTGAGGGGCATCAGGACAGAAATTCAAGTAAGAACCTGGAGGCAGGAGCTGAAGCAGAGGCAATGAAGTGGCACTGCTTACTGGCTTGCTAAGCTTGCTTTCTTATACAACTCAGGACCACCTACCCAAGGGTAGCATTGTCCACAGTGGGCTATCCTTTCCACATCAATTATCAAATAAGAAAATGTACCACAGAATTGCCTAGAGCCAGTCCAATGGACATATTTTCTCAGTTGAGGTTTCCTTTACTCAGATGACCCTCAGATACTGTCAAGTTCACATAAACACTACCCAGCACAGCAGCAAACACTCTCTCCAGGTGTCTTATAACTACTATTTAGCTTAGCTTAAAAGTCTTCTTTTTAGACTTCACCCATTTAATCTATCATATGGCTTCTATCCTGGTTAGAACAGGAGTGTCATATCTACTTTGTCTCAAAACCTAAATAGACCACTTTTTCCACTTATTCTTTCCTCAACTCAAAAAAAAAAAAACAAACAAGGAAATTTCTGTTCTCCATCCTCAGATTATTCCCCAACACATCAACACATACATATATGCACATCTAGTAAGAGGACTGGGCAAATGTAGGGTTCCACCTTGACCCTGTGCAGTGCACATGCCAATAACATGAGAAGAATAACTGCATTTCAAACATGCTATAGCACATTGCCCCTTGAATTTCTTTTACAGATTTCTATTTTAGTACTTGTCACTTTAATGCTAGATAATGTCTCGAATCTAGACATTAAATTAATTAAATACCTGCTCTCTTGCTGTAGCAGCTACTGTAATAGAATTTCTACTTACAAATAATATTTTCTGAAGGTCTAACTTCATGCTAGGCAGTGAAGACAAGTCTAGAGGTTTATGTGGGAAAACCGATTCCTAATATATACAGCTCACGGAAATGCTCTATATGGAGACGGTGTCCTTTTCCCAAAGTTGCACTTACTGATGAACTTGTTTTGCATAGTCTCCAACAGAGCTTGGTGAGCATCTTCAGCTTGTAAAGCGTGTGAACATTCTCTAGCCAATATGGTGCGCACAAGATGCTCTCCACATCCTACAAGTCCAAGAAAAACAACAGATGAGGAAAACAATACTGACTGCTTTGCTTGTCTCAATAATATGAAACACCCTTGCACAGAACTTACAAAGTAGTTATGTAACAGGACAACCCAGTGAGGGAATGAAATGACCTCTATAAACAGTTTGGTAATTTTAGTAACGATATTCGATAGAATATAAACAAACATGGGGCTACTTAATCTCAAAAGAAAATAGTCAAAAATAAAAGAAACCGTCTTTCAGCTGGACAATTTCTATAACACGGGAATGTAGATTCTGCACCTAGGATTCTCTCCCAATCCCACTAATGAGTAAATACAAATCATCCTGCTGGGTGGTCTCAGCCTCCCATTTAATAAATGGATCCACAGCTGTCAGTCATTCGTTTTCTTTTTGACACTCCACTTGCCTGGGTGGCTGGAGAGAAATGTAGACATCCAGGGGCAACCTAAATCTCTCCCTACCTTTGCTTGAGAAAGTCCATACACCAGCAGTGTGAGGGACAGGATAAAGCAGCAGCATTCTTACATTCTTTAATACTCACAGAACTTTTAGGAGCTTTAAAAAACTACTTTTCCATAGTTTTAAAGAAAAAGTGTACTTTGGGGAAAAAGAGATGATTCACCTAGGGTCAGTTCCCAGCACCCACAACTGTCTGTGATTCCAGACTGATGTGGGTACTGGATACACACGATGCACATACATTCACATAGGCAAAATACTCATACACATAAAACAAAGAGAGGAAGGTAGTCTCGAGGGAGAAAGGGAAGAGGGAGGGAGAAAAAGTGAGGGAAGGAAAGGGAGGGAGGTGAGGATTTTAATATGAGATAAACTTGAACTAATTAGATTAATGAATAGAAGTTCTACAGTAGTAGCTACTGCAAAAACAGAATCAAAGAAGCTTAATTTAAGGATTGGTGAGTTTTAATAGAACATTTCTTGGAAAGGAGCAGCTTCCTTTCTAAAAGAAAAAAATTGTAAATGTTTAAAGCTGGTATCATGATCCTCTGGGAACCTAAAAGAAAAGCATATTTCAGCTCCCTGAAGAAGCAGCTCCACAAAAGAGTGTCTAGGATCCACTCAGAGTCCAAGCAGGACCAGGCACAACTCAATGTTTCTGCACTTTACATACATGCACATGAACACCACGACACACACATATACATGGGGGAAAACAAGTGAACAAAGGGGCATCTCAACAATCATAATGAAGCTTGGACTGAAACAGCTAAATTAAGCAACTACTTTTAATTTTTTGCTGTTTAAAAATTATTTATTTTTATTTTCAATATGCGCATAAATGTCTGTACACTGTATGCATGTGTGGTGCTGAGAGGCCAGAAGAGGCTGTTAAAATTCCTTGAAACTGGAGCTGCTGAATTGCCTGGGTGTGCTGGGAATCAAGCCCATGTCTTCTCGAACAGAAGTGCTCTTAGCAACTGAGCCATCTCTCCAGTCAGAAACCAGTTGTATAAGGGCAACAACATTCATTATATACAATAACCATTAAGCCATGTTGTTGCCTTTCATGTCAGAAATGTCCTCTTCATACATGCACATCTCCTCCTCTGTTCACGCCTCTCCAATTATAACTTTCCTTAAATGTATAGGCAGATATGCACATATTGCATGTTATATGTACAATGTTCACTCATGCCAAGATATGAAAAGTATATGTAACTGTAAACACAACTTTCAAACTGCCTGATATCTTACAAAAAAAGACATTTTCAAGATCTCTTTGGAAATATCTAAACCCAGACAAAACTCCCTGTGGAATTTAATATAAAGGATTATTTTGTTCACTAATGTTTGTTTTATAAGCAGAAAGAAATAAAACGAGTAATTAAAAAATATGTTTGACAATTATTGTGTAAGAACATTGTGCTAAGTTCACAAAACCCCATAAATTTTAATTCCCTTTGGACACATATCTGATGTGGAATAGAGAAATGTTATGCTCTGGGGTAATTGTGACAATCAGAAAGTGAGCACATTATAAACTAAATGATGCTCCAAAAGTCATGTACATATGCCTCAAGTAAAACAGCTAGAACACATGAAGTCATGATAGTACATCAAAATTTAGATGTGTCAGGAAGGCATTTCCCTCTTATTAAATTTAGGAGAGTGAAAAGGGTTTACCAGTGATTGAGTTTTATTAAAAAACTATTAAAATTCTGATTTATATTCTGGCATATTATTACCTTTAACATAGGGATTAGGACACCAAAACTTTTCTACCATGTATTCCAATGAAAGAAAATTGGAGTTTTTATCTACTAAATACCAAAGTTTCTTAGAACATACTGCAATAGAATTGAAGCTTGACTCAAATGTTATTTAACTTTGAGATTCATTCTTTACTCATACCATGAGAAATATATTTTTCACTACAACTTCTTTTATTTATATTTATTTATACTGCAGAATTAATCTTCTGTACGTTATGTAAATTTGGCTGTGATTGGTTTAATAAGGAAGCCGACTAGCCAATAGAAGAACAGGATAAGGTTAAGCAGGAAAACCAAACTGAGGACACTGGGAAGAAGAAGGGTGAAATCAGAGTCACCAGGCAGATACAGCAGAAGCAGGACATGTATAAAATGAGGTAACAGGCCATGAGCCACAGGGCAGCAAGAAAATGAATAGAAATGGGTTAATTTAAAATGTAAGAGTTACCTAGGGCCAATGGTTTCCTTTTAAAAAGCTTATTTGAGACAGATTGCAACTGCATAGAGTGGACCAGATGTGAATGCCAATCTCTCAGCTAGACAGCCCAGTCTCTAGGCCCTAGGTTCTGGCATAAAACCCCGGACCCCTTCCCCACAAGCCTCAGGGACTAAGGCAAGCCTCCTGTAGGCAGGCTGCCCCAGCACCCTCCCTTCCATCCAGCCATGGAAGCTGCAGTCTACAAGACCCCTTCCACCCCCAAATGCACCTACTGCCCCTATCCCCAGCAACCTCGGTGGCTACTGAAGATACAGACGGCAACTGGATAGAGAGGACCAAGAGATGATTGACCAGCATATCAGATGGACAGCCCAGTCTCTAGGCACTAGAGGTATCCCAGACCCAAAAAGATGAACATGGGATGTACTCACTCATAATTGGTTTCTAGCCATAAATAAGGGTCACGGACACTACAATTGGTGAACCTAAAGAAGCTAAATAAGAAGGTGAACCCAAGGAAAAACATATAGTTGTCCTCTTGGCTATGGGAAGTAGACAAAATTGCCGGGGAGAAAATTGAGATCTTGGGGGTGGGGTGGGATGGGGGAAAGGGGAGATGGGGAGAGAAAAGGGAGAAGGGGAGAATGGGGGGAACTTGGGGAAATAGGAGGATTGGGATAAAGGAAGGTAGGATAGGGGAGCACGGAAGCACAATTCTTAGTTAAGGGAGCCACCTTAGGGTTGGCAAGAGACTTGAACCTAGAGTGGCTCCCAGATGCCCAAGCCGAGGTCCCCAGTTAGTTCCTTGGGCAGCTGAGGATAGGGAACCTGAAATGACCCTATCCTATAGCAATACTGATGAATATCTTGCATATCATCATAGAACCTTCACCTGGTGATGGATGGAGACAGAGACAGAGACCCACACTGGAGCACTGGACTGAGCTCCCAAGGTCCCAATGAGGAGCAGAAGGAGGGAGAACATGAGCAAAGAAGTCGGGACCACGAGGGGAGCACCCACCCACTGAGACAGTGGAGCTGATCTATTGGGAGCTCACCAAGGCCAGCTGGACTGTGACTGAAAAAGCATGGGATAAAACTGGACTCTCTGAGCATGGCAAACAATGAGGGCTGATGAGAACCCAAGGACAATGGCACGGGGTTTTGATACTACTTCATGTTCTGGCTTTGTGGGAGCCTAGCCAGTTTGGATGTTCACCTTCCTAGAAATGGACGGAGGGGGGAGGACCTAGGACTTACCACAGGGCAGGGAACCCTGACTGCTCTTTGGGCTGGAGAGGGAGGGGGAGAGGAGTGGGGGGAGGGGGAGAATGGTGGGAGGAGGGGGAGAAGGGTGGGAGGAGGGGGAGGGAAATGGGAGGCTGGGAGGAGGAGGAAATTTGTTTTTTTTTTCTCTTTTTCTCAATAAAAAAAAAAGTTAAAAAAAAAAAAGAAAACACAAGCCAAGGAAATCCTGGAAATTAAAAACCTAGGTAAATGAACATGAACTACAGATACAAACATAACCAAAATAATACGAGACTTGGAAGAGAGAATCTTAGCTGAGACATGATAGAGGAAACAGATACATCAGTCAAAAAAAAAAAAAACAACCATTAATGCCATAAAACATCCAGTAAATCTGGGATACCATGAAAATACAAAACTTAAGAGTAATAGAAATAGAAGGAGAAAACCAGCTCAAAGGCACAGAAAATATATTCAACAAAATCATAGAAGAAAACTTTCCCAATCTAAAAAAGCAAATACCTATGAAAATACAATTAGCTTTCAGAACACCAAACGAACTGTAAGCCCCCCCCCACCAAATCCCTGTAGCCTGAATAATAAAAACCCAGAGACAGATATTGTAGTTCAACCTGAAGATCAGAAAAGCAAAGCAGCCAAGCCACTATAGACATCTTGCCTGTAACAAGATTCAGACAAACAAAGGGATGATCCTGCAATGCTCTCCACCAACCTCAGACTTCACACTCCACTGAGCTCCTGTCTCTTCCCCTTTATATTCCCCTTCCGCCCAGCTATATCATCACTCCTATCTCCACCTCCCTAGTGATGGGTTTAAAGGTGTGGAAACCAAAGCACTGGGATTACCTCTGTGTGAGCTTTGTTTCTCCTTTAGACACCCTTGTTTAGCCCTATGTGGCCTTGAGCTCAAAGGTCCCTCTGCCTCTGTCTCCCCAGTCCAGGATTAAAGGTGTGTGCCACTACTCTCTAGTCTGTAGTTGGCTAGTATGACTGCTTTGCCCTCTGATCTTCAGGCAAGCATTATTTATTCAAACATAAATAATACAGCAC